AAAATTAAATATCTAGATGCAACAAAATCCTTAAGTGCATACTATATTTAAAAATCAAATAGCTTGCACACAGACTCATTGCCTATGAAAGGCTTAAGACATATTCCAACTGTATCCACTTACCACTTGAAAAAAAAAAAAAAGATCGGACATTCCCATATACTTGCAGGGAAAGACCTATGTAAGTGTGTGCCCTTGCAATATGCCCAGGTCAATATTGAATTCTGGGGAACATTGAAGACAACAGTACCAGCCACTCTGGACCTACATGGGAGGACTATTAACAAAACACTTCATGTTATTCTACAGGAGTTGACAAGCTGAAGAGGCTGTCTTCGAGGCAGCCAGGACTCAAGTCAGCGTACTGCTTGACCACCTTACAGGTGAAAGCAAACACTTGGGATTGTACCCAGAAACAAACTTGGAAGTCAGGGCAGACTCAGGAACACAAGTACTTGAAAAGATCATAAGCAAGCCATACACCGTTTTACACTAGGTAAAGTTACAAAGCTGCCTTCAAGGGACTGCACAGCAGAAGGCAGACACTGAAGTGGGAGAGCACAAAGGGGTAACCCAGTCACACAGTTTGTGCACACCAAAGGGGGCAGCAGGAATAAAAAGATTACCAGAGAAGCAGAAAAGAACTAAAATGTGCAGAGCCTTAATGTCTGAGGCAGAACAAGAGGGGAAATTTTATTCTTGGTGGGTTGGGGAGGATAATTAAATGAGCACAGTCAGTGGTGACATTTGTATATACTAATGAGATGAGGTATACAAATCCCAGACTGGATAACAAGGGGTTTATGAGCAGCTCTGGGCCGAGGCAGCCCTGCCCAGCCATACCTATAAAGCCTGTACAAGTTGGAGGAGCTTAAAAGGGAAAGCAGAGCAGCTCAGAAGGAGGCAAGCAGGAGAAGGGAACAGATCTCTGCTCTGGGGAAATAACAGCCCAGGAGCTCTTGTTGCCTGAGACCTGACCACACTTGGTCCTGCCCAAGCCAGTAAAGGAGAGAGACTGGAGACTGTTTAGGAAGATCAGAAACTTTATTTTCAGTTCAGTTCTTTAATTTAACCTGCAGGGAAATAAAAACAGGGAAACTCAGATGGGAAGTGATGCAAGGATGCAGCTATTTAGCACCCTACGGTACAGAACTTAGATCACCCTGGACTGGAGCCTGATGGGGACGGTAGGCCTGGGCTCCCCTACCAGCACTTGAAGGTGGGACAACAACAGGAGTCTACCGCTTGGTGGGGAATCCAGCTGGGGAAAACCCTGAATGCAGAAGGGACCAGACACCAAATCCTGGAGCTAAGGAGAAAGTCCCAACACCCTACTGGACACCAAAAGACTTCTCCGTTATTGTTTTTTTCTTTCTGTATATCCAGAAAGGGGCGGAGTATAGCGCATGACTTGGCCGGAGGACTGAGCCACAAAAGAAGGGACTGATCCCATAGGACAGAGTTGTAAAAGAAAGGGGGACCATGAGCCTGACCACTAGGCACCACTGCTGGTGAGAGTCACCTTTCACAACAGCTTTTAAAACAAATTATTCACCTGTTCCAAGAGCTCTGGATAGGTGCAGTTTTACAACAGAATAATAAAATTAGACAAAAGGAAAGCCACTAAGGGGTTTGAAGAAATTGGTTGTAGTCAGCAGTGGGCAAGATGGATTTTGTGGCAAAGTTTTGGATGGATTGAATGGGGCAGGAAGAGAGACAAAGGCAGGAGAGAAGGCTGCAATAGTTTTCAGTGACAGCTCCCTCCTCTCGCTGCATCTACAACTGAATTCACTAATGCCATCAGGATAGTCCTTCAGTCTTTTCCTACAATATAGTTAGTGCATTGCCATTTAGGCTTCCTCCCACACTCTCCAGCTCATCTGACAAGGAAGGCTAGAGGGTAAGGAAATAAACCTAGCCAGATGACACCATGTTGAGTTCCTCACCCTCTTCCCACACAGGGAAAGGAGAAGAGCCCTTCACCTCAAAACCAAGGCAGAAAACATGAATGAACTTCTGCCAGACCCCTCCTTTTCCTTTCTACTGCTCACCACAGGCCCCTATACTTCATTGAGATGACTTCCATTTTCTGCAGCAGAGCTGGAAGGAGAAGGAGCAAAGTAGCAAGCCCAAGTCACAATACTTAATGCTGACTGGAAGAAAGCTAATGAATATGTAAAATGGAAAGGTATAAGAAACCAAGTGAACACAGGCTCAGGTTGGAGAATACCTGACCACAGACTGAGACAATGAGGAGAGCTTCCCAGTACCCCAAAAGTTGGTAGCTTGAGCTCCTTGTTGTTCTGTCTTATCTATTTATCACCTATCAAATAGATGATCAGAAACTACAGATGACAGAGATTCTGTTTGAAATTTATAAATAAAGGCCAAAATTGATTAAGTCTCAATTAGGCTGACTCATGCCTCACCTTGCACACCCCACAAGCAGCAACCCAGAACATCTTTTCTTGTAAACTGAAGTTTATGTATCCTGTGATTCACTGTAACATAATAGTGTATTAATCCTATTCTTAGTACATTTTCTTCCCCCAAAATGGTGCTCCAGTAATCAGATCTTAAAGATTAAGTATAATAAAATTCTTACAAGTATCTACAATATTTAAAAGACAATTTATACACTGACTTATTGTCAGTGAAAATCTTAAGACACACTCCAACTCTCCATCTATTCCCTTAAAAGAAAAAGGATCAGACCTATCTCAGTAGGTCTCAGGCAAAAGCCTGTATAAGTAAATGGCCCTAGAAAAGTGTCCTAAATAAAGGTCAACCTTTGGCTCTAGCAGAAAACCATGATGAACAAGTTCCATAGCCAAGGGCATATTCCTTACCCCTTGTGTATCTGTAAACCACCAGTAGGGGATCTCTCCTCTGAAGTGCTGCAAGCAGTGAGGGTTCATGTATATGTAACAGATGCTGTGTACCAATTTCCCATATTGGCCTGCAGATTCAAGACACCCCCAAGTCAACAAATACAGCACTCCCACTGGTTGTGCGATTAATGATTTTCACAGACACACAAGTGCTGGAGCTTCCTTTACGAACAGTTTATTACCAGTTAAAATAAATAAAATTAACTTCATTGTAGAAGATCATCAGTCAGTGTACTTTTCAATAATAGATCCAGATTCAACTTCTAAGTGTTTATAGCTGAGATTCCAGAATTTAACTATGCATCCTCAAAATACAACTCTGGAAAAAATTAGCTTAAACCGTGAATCTGTTTTTTATTAAATAAAGCAGAAGCACCAATTACAAAGCTGCATACATGAACAGAAGCAATTGTTTAAAACTGAAAGCCTACTAAGTTAAAAAAAATTATCTAGACTGTTGTTTCCAATTACTTTTGCTAACTGAAATATGACAGTACTATGCACTGCCACTGACTTCAATGGCAGAAGGACCATTCCCCTGCTTAATAACTACTTTAACTGCATAGTATTCACTGCAAACTCCCTTACATCTCTAAATGTATCCTCTATTGGAAACAGATATAGTAATTTTCTATACCACTTAACTAGAAGGGGGTTTTTTTGCCACTAACTCAAAGACAGCATGATTGGGTCCCATAACATACTATAGAATACACTATAAAAGTAGATACTATATAGATATACAGTATAGTTATTACTGGAAACTTCACTACAGACAGTGCAGTATCATAAAAGCCAGAAGATAGTATACCTATATTCGTAGGTTTCTATACGTAAAGTATTGTAATGGAAACTATATTAATTATATTAATTACTAGAGTAAATCTAGAAAATACAGAAGTGCTTCAACACCGTAGGATTGTTTCTGCAAAACCAGTACTGCACATTTTACTATTGCAATATGATAGATTTACTGTAGACGAGGTGGGCAAGGTAATATCTTTTATTGGACCAGCTTCTGGTGGGGAGAGAGACAAGCTTTCGATCTACACAGAGCTCATGTCATTTTGCTACCCACAGCAGAATCCTTTAATATATAAGCTTCTGTTCTAGGTAACTGTTTCTTCTTCCCCATCCCTTAGTCAATGTCATTTAGGCCCCCATTATTCAGCTAGAATCAGGAATGATTCATCACCTGCAATGAAATGCATCTACAATTTTGCACTATAACATACTGCCAGAAAAAGGCATGAATAAAGGGCAGATAAGGAAACTGTGGGAGCAATTCATGTGGGCAACAAATGTCTGCACAAATGAAGGCCAAGACAGAAAATCAGACCCTCAGTTTAGAAATATTTGCCCAGCTAAGTTCTATTTTACTGCTTAATGGACAAGCAATAATAATTATCCTGGGTGCACTGGTTAACTAACACATCTGGCCTACAGTTGAAAATGAGAATTGTACTTTGTGCTTCAGATTCTTATACTTGCACACAAAACTGCTGAACAAAGTTTATTTACCTGCCAAAAATCACTGGTATTTTGTTCCTTCTCTGGCTCAGCCAGCTATATCTATACTGTATTTTGGAAAGAGGACAAATGGCTAATTATGTGTCGGTATCACCCAAAATTGGAACAGCCATTTTCTTCTAAAAACCAAATTGGAGTTCCAGGTTATGTTTGGTAAAGTTGCCTTGAGAATAAGCTGATAAAGAGAAATAAAGGCAATTTTTTGTATCTTTTTCTTTGAAATACCACTTACGAAAGCAACTGTATTGTGGCGGCATATTCTGGCTGTAAAACGAATACTGAAATTAGTTTAACAGATAATTTCAGAAGCTGAAAAAGCAAAAGGGAAAACAATGCTTCTGAACATTTTAACAGAATTTCTGGCTTCCAAAAACACAAGCCAGTCCCTTTGCATACGAAGTCCCTATTCTATTTTCTATGGCTGATGAGAGAATTTCTTGAAGCTACAACTTAATTTAAAGCCTTGATCATTTTTGCCACTGCCATTATGATTGCAAGTCAGTATTTCTAAACACTAATTATTAAAACTGTGAAAGACATCAACTTTAAATAAAATTTTACCATCTGTAGACATTTTACCTGTTACCAAGGATAGGCTCTCCAGAGGCACCCAGTGCTGAATAGTCCATGCCATAGAAATTCAGCCCCAGCAGAATTTTACTCCTCCATTTGGATTCAGGATCAAGCACCTGAACACAGGCCCGTACCCAGGGAAGAGGGGAGTTTGGGCCAGGCCTGTTGGGTCAGCAATAGAATAAACAGGATGTTAGAAACAGTAAGTGTTTATTTTCAGATAACAGCAGCTTTGTATTCTTGAACTAATTATAACTTGATGAGTGAACTATGGCACATGAAAAAATTACAAAGGCTAAATGGGCAGCCGCTTGTAGTCTGAACTCTAGCTTGATGCACAAAGCACACAACCTGATTTTCAGATGACATTATGATCCCTTCCTAGCACAAAAAGGCAAAGAAACATCTCACATAAGTCAGAAGAGAAGGCTTCCACCTAGCGTTTTTCCACTTCACTGGGCTTAGGATAATGTCCACAAGAGAATTCAAAATCCTCAGTGCCTTGAATTGTTTAGTATACCATTCTGACATTTGCTGTTACGTTGCAACATTTAACACACTGGACCTAATCCTGTTCATTTTACTCACACAAGGAGTCAACAATTGGTGAGCAGGATTTAATCCACTGTTGCTTAACATTCCTACCTTGTGGTAATAAATGCAGAATTATCTGGATGGGCAATGGCATCATAAGGAAAAGCCATGTTTGTAAAATGAACAATTGGACCACACAGACTGACTGTCATCATGTGCACCAAGACTCAGTAGCCTAACATAAGGAACAACATAGTCCAGTCTTGTGAACAGAGGCTTTCACCCTCTGGTGACTATCTACCTCAAAGTGTTTTGGATATCTGTACAATTAAGAATAAAATCAAAATAGTAAGCATACTGTTCTTTTAGCAAAGAAAATACTTTGCTAAAAATTATGAGTTGTTCATCTTTAAAGGTAATGGTGTAGTGTCAAAATGGGTGCAGTGTCCTATAGTTCATATGTTAAGACTGGGTGTGGCAGAATTTGATTTTTTTTTTTTTTTAATAATTTCAACAGATACCAATGTTTATTTTTAAGCATTTTTTTTCCTATTTTCATCGATTTAAATTTCACAGTTGTAGGAAATTATAGGGTGTCAGACAATTATTTAATGATAATTGATGTAGAAATTCAAATATTTAAAGCTTTATATCCAGTAAAACACTCATTTTCAACATCGTATGTTGAAATATACAAAGTACATAGCCTTAAATCAAACTCTAGTAAGTTCTCAAGGAGCATTTTTCTTACTTTGTCTAGCTGTAAATTTTGATCACCAATGGAAGTATTTTTCATTGGTTTGTGCATGTACAGTAAAATTGATGCTTACTTACATTTACCAATTTTTAAAAAAACTAATCCTCCCAAGCCTAGATAAGACCTATCCAAGGAAATTCAGAATACAAGGTTAAAACCAGTCAAAAAATCCTGTCTCAAGATAAGGTACTACTATAAAATCACATTTCTTTTAATAATGGACATGACAGGTGTTATTACAGACTCTAAAAGAAGTGACTCCCTGTGAAGAAAAAAGACAATGAGTACTTGTGGCACCTTAGAGACTAACCAATTTATTTGAGCATAAGCTTTCGTGAGCTACAGCTCACTTCATCGGATGCATGCTGTAGCTCACGAAAGCTTATGCTAACATAAATTTGTTAGTCTCCAAGGTGCCACAAGTACTCCTTTTCTTTTTGCGAATACAGACTAACACGGGTTACTCTGAAACTTGTGAAGAAAGAGCAGCTGCACTGCAGCAACAGCAGATTTAAGTAACTGTATGCATCAGTTAAAGAACTGACTCAAAATGTCTCCATAACACTGCTTAAAACCAAAGTTGCTGTTCCACCAAAATTCCACCTCAGATTAAAATGGTATCTTATAGCTGTTTGATTTTGATACCAAGCTCAAGATCAAACTTGTGCAATTCTTTAATGCTGTTTTTAAGGCTTTGTTTATTCAACAAATAATTTATCACTTGCTAGATTCTCTATCTTGAAAGTGTCTATTCACTTAGTATATATAGATGATAATGATGCAACATTAAACATTTTAAGAATACAGTCTTAGCAGTATTGTGTTCCATTGCCAGTTACGAGTAAATAGCAGTTGGAGATTCTAAGCAAGAACTGCCGGGGTCTCTTTGACAAGCTTCCCGTTTTGTCACTATTTTTCATCTGATTGTGTAGGCATAAAAAACCAGCTGCATATGTGGCTGGGACTGGAACATGTTTCAGCAAAGAGAATGTAAAAGAAATATGTTCAAATCTCAGTTCTCATTCCCAGCTATTTTTTTATTATTATTATTAGTCTAGGGCTTTAGGAGTGGATTTTTGAGAATGAGTGGTGGAAACTGAGAAAGAGGAGTAGTAGAGGCAGGATGTGGGAAGTTTTGGGAGTGAGGGACTATATAAACGCTTTTCCAAAAATAAAGACAAGCTTCTTTTAAACATTTGGGTGGAAAAACAAGCACCAAACACAAACCTGTCTAGAGGTTATCAAAATGCTAAAATACTAGATACAACAAAAGTCCCTTAGGAGTGCTGCAGATTAGTACAAGTGAATGGTATGATATTCCTAATGGCAGGGAGATGTTACTAATTCACCTCAATACTGACCTTGGGAAACCAAATTTCAGCTATATACTGTAAATTTATCAGGAACTTCAGAAGCATATTTTTAGCAGGAAGTTAAGTTTGAAGTCAACCATGGCCAGTGGGAATGAAAGTCTTTAGTATAGCATTTAAAAACAATTTCCGAAATGCTAGAGTCTACTCTAAGACCAAATTAGGCAAGTACAAACATCAGTTGTGCACAGTACCATTTTTCCACAGAATGAAAGTATACTTGTACATTCATCCCATCATGGGTTTTGAAACTGCACCAACTAGGGTCTGGAAGCAAAGCAAAGATCATCTTACATAGAAGAAACTGATGTCCAGTTACTAGCAAACAAACTCTTGAGCTGAGGTTCAAAACCCTTTAAGAGATCTGGACATCCAATTTCCATTAAAGTTAATTAGAATAAAGTATCCTAATCTTAGACATCTTTGAAAGTCTCAGCCTTCATCCATAATCCTAACTGCTAACCTAAAAGCCCTATCTGGTGTAGTTGGAACAAACTATCCACTCTTCCTGTAATCAGCCAAGGCTGTAGTTTTCACAGCTACATAACTGACAACTAATTTCTGGTTATCTGTGCCCAGCCATGTATCCTTACCGCTGTGGTGTTGAATAGTCATATGTCATGAGACTGAAGCTGTCCATTACTGGGGCCAATTGATCAAATTCTTTCTTTGTGAACATTCCCAGCTGGTTGGTCCTTTCAACAAACAAACAAACAAACAAAGAAAGTATAACATACTTTGGGTTGCTTTCTCTCCTAGATTTGAAGAATTAAATTTAATTCACTTTTATCACATAGCACAAAACTTTCATTTTGGGATTGCAGCAAGACACCTCGGGTGACGTTCTTAAAATGAATCTTTAAGACAAGATATTGAGTACTACTGCACTGCCTATGGGAAAGTGTTAAAGAACTGGACATTCATAATATACTTTTAAAGATATATTTGCAAGATAAATATAATTAATATAAAAACTATGTTCTAATCAAATTTCTTCATGTAATATTGGACTGAACCAATACACTAATAGTCTTTGACAAGCCAAGCAATTAATTGTTTTTAAAGTTGCTATTTACATTTAAAATGCTAAGCTGTTTTGAAAAATAAAACAAACAGATTTGTAAATAAATGAATTGAGCTGTTCCTACAAAAACATGAAACAGATAACTTCTTGAGAAAATGCCCTCCCCTCATATTCATGTACAGGAAGGGGCAAAAGAAGTCTTCGCTGTGCTAAGGTAACTATTTTTTCAACATGGTAAGCCCATTTTGTTTCTTTTTAACCACTGCTAATAAAACCACAAAGTCCCAAATAATGGAATGACAACAACATGGGGTGCTTTCAGCAGTAAATGGGGGTATGTACACTTGCTTTGAGGTTGGATATAAGTGCTGCACTAAGAGAAATAAGGATTACTTTAACTCTGAGAAGGTGTTGCAATTACTCAATTCTGAGATTTAATTTATCGAGGTCAAGCAGTTTGACACCATTTAGCAAGATGTATAGCTTAGAGATCCAAAAGACTGTTTTTCCTGTGAGATCTAGTATTTTTGTACAAGCCTATATAAGGGGATGGATGAATTCCCTTATTAAAATTTAGCCATTTTCCTCCAACAACTGACTTTAAGCAATGACCCATGATCCTATATGAAGGAGGATGGGAATCTAAAATCTGGAGAGTGTGACAAAGGGAGAGAATGAATAAAGAGGAGAGGTTTGTTTCCTGGAAGATTAGTGAAACCTGGAATTCAGGTTAAATTGAGTTGGTAGAGGGAAAAAAAATGGCACAATACTATTCTATAAATGCCTGCCTTGAATTTTCTTGACTTCAAGGACCAATGCATGAGTTTCTCTACTGCAGGGATGAATTTAACAAATTTCTCTTCCAAAACCAACAAAAATCTTTCAGGCTTTTTTGTTATTTTTGGAATGACCCTTACTTATATAACCAAGTGTCAAGTCTCCAACCCAACTTCATGTATTTGGTTAGTTCTGGACATTTAGAGGCCCCTGAATTTCTTCTGTTTTCTTTTTAGGTAAATTGGGACATACTCACTCGGTACTCTTTGAAATTTCTTCAAAGAGCAATGGTCATAACATGAGGGCAAGTTAAAGCAGCATTATGCCTCTTCCTACCACTCTCCCCAGGAAATATAAGACAGCCTTGATAAAAACATACCCCAAAGAGGGACAGGTATGGGAGAAGACATTGGAAAGAACACCTATGTCCCCAGCCATAGGGATCCGGGAGAGCTGGGGGAGAGACAGAGAGAGAAAAGGAGAAACAGCTCACTCCCTCCTAAAGCAGAGCTAAACACGGAGAGGAATTCTACAAAGAACAATGTGCGTGGGTTGCTACAAACTCCATTTTACTTAACAGAAAAGAGCAAAGTTATGTACTTGCAAACATGTGTACTGCTATTCTGTGTGTCACCCACAGACAAAATGTAGTGAACGTAATTCCCATTAAAGGAATTAGAGGGAATATATTTCAGAGTTCACAATTTTTCCTGACCAATAGCTTTATAGGAACACACTTATTAGGGCAAAAAATGTTACTACTATCCTTTATCGAGAAATGCTGCAAATAAAACGAACTCCTGGCTCCATCACTCTGGGAAAAAGTTAATGAAGCAGAAATTAAGAAGTGGTGTGGAACAGTCATTTTCCATGTGCGCATGTTGACATACGTGGACTGAGTATGAATGATATTTGTCAGTCAGGTCACTTTTGATCTGACAAAGCACATATTAGAATCAGATTATTTACTTTCAGTATAGATAAACATGTTGGCAACTGTTTTGTTTTGATATATGCTATGGCAGCCTCGTGTTCCAAGAACCAATAATTTAGTTGCCACATTAAGGAGTCCTTCTCTTCTTCTCCCCAAGGCTTCAAGCACAAATTAAAAACCCGATCTCCTCTTCTGGTACCCATGTGTGAGCCTCAGTTTTCTCAACCGTGATCTACCTGCCATTTTATTGCAAATTTAAATCACAAACTTTCTACAAGAATAAATCAAACAGAGTGTCTTTGTTACAATGTCATGGTTACCTGAATGCCTGTAGGCAAAACAGTTTTCCTTCCTCAACCCCAGCAAAATGCATTTTCTGTAAATTGATTCTGATTATTTCTGGGGGGGAAGCATAAGGAGTAATTATAGCAAGCATTAGATTTTTATGGTATGTTGCATTGCTTGGTAGATTAAGCAGGGTAATACTTTAATGAAACTCAGTGATGCAACTTACCCCCCTCTCCCTTTTTCAAATCAACTGCCAAGGAATGGGGAAAAGACATACAAAACACTGTCATCGTCTCACACACAGAGGCTTGTAACTGAACTGTTTCAAATAAGTGTAACCCTCCGCATGCTGGAAGCGGTGCTCTGTTCCCCTCTGGCGGTGGCTAGACAGCTAAAAATTGATGAGCTTGTCTTTTAGTTCATGCAGTAGCAGCTCACGCATTTAGCTCCAGAGACCCCAGGTTTGATCCCCACTGCCAACACCTCTGTGTGAGGCGGCGTTCCATAAGAAAGGACGATTGGCCAGGAACAAAGGCCTATAGAAACATGCTCCATCGACAGAGGGTGTAAACATCTAACACTTTCAATTCAACAGCAGTCAATCAATTCTGCACAAACAATTTGCGAAACCCCTCAGCTGGGCGGTTGGAGGGAGTCATTTTGCCCAACGCAGGGCCTTTCAGAAATGTTCTCAGTAAAAGAATTGATACTTGAGGATAGAATTCTAATTTTAATTTTTAGATTAATTTAAAAAAAATTAAAATTAAAAATGTAATAATTTTTAGAATTCTAAAAGAATTGATACTTGAGGATAGATGCTCAGACTTTAAGGCCAGAAGGGACCATTATGATCATCCATTCTGACCTCCTGCATGTCACAGACTACAGAACTTCACCCACCCACTCCTGTAATAGACCCCTAACCTCTGGATGAGTTACTGAAGTCCTCACATCACGATTTAAAGACTACAAGTTAAAGAGAATCCGCCATTTAGACTAGTTTAAACAGGCAAGTGACCCATGCCCTGTGCTGCAGAGGAAAGTGAAAAACTCCCAGGGTCTCTGCCAACCTGACCCAGGAGAAAATCCCTTCCCAACCCTAAATATGACAATTGGTTAGACCTGAGCATGTGGGCAAGACCCAACAGCCAGAAACCAGAAAAGAATTCTCTGTAGTAACTCAGAACCCTCCACATCTAGTGTCTCATCACCAGCCATTGGAGATATCTGCTGCTAGCAGTCGCAAATCGGCTCCACGCCATTGTAGGCAGTCTTATCATACCATCCTCTCCGTAAACTTATCAAGCTCTGTCCTGAAGCCAGTTAGGTTTTTTGCCCCCACAGCTCCGCTGAGAAGGCTGTTCCAGAACTTCACTTGTCTGATGCTTAGAAACCTTTACCTAATTTGAAGCCTAAACTTGTTAATGGCCAGTTTATACCCATTTGTTCTTGTGTCCACATCGGTGCTTACCTTAAACTCCTCTCCTTCCCTGGTATTTATCCCTCTAATGTATTTATATAGAGCAATCATCTCTCCCCTCAGCCTTCTTCTGGTTAGGCTACACAAGCTCTGTGCTGCTAATGTGCCTTTCAGCTGAGGATCTCAAATCACTTCAAAATTTAAGTTAATCCTACACTCCACTCCAAGGCAGAAATTTCCCCTAGTACGCAGCTGAGGAAATTGATATACAGAGGGCCAAGAGACTTGCCTGATGATACATAGCAAGGCCATGAGAATCAAGGGACTTGCAATCCTGTGTTTTAGCCAAAAGCCTGTCTTTCATCTAGGCTTTGAATATTAAGCACGTATTAGAGTCAGTGCAGTTGCAGTGACCCCATCACCATTTATCAGAAATATGTAATGCGCATACTGGAGGCAGCTCGTCATTAAATTCTCAGTTGACTGAAGGTGACTTGATCTGTTCACAGAAGTGCAACTATTAAGAGGGAGAAGCTAGATGTGCAAGCACACATTAGGAAAAAATCAGAATATTTAACAGAACAATATCTCAAGAAGTTCTTTGTGTGGAATTAACTTTGCCCCCTGAGCTTACCTCAGTACAGTTAAAAAGGTGACTGTGCAATTTGGGGCCTAAACAAATATGCATTCTTTTTTAAAGAAGTGTGAAATGAAGCACTGAATGTGAGAGAAATGTGATCTTCCATAAGGAAGATAAAAATAGAAATCAGTTCTTAATGTGTGCAAACATATGGTAATTATGCAATATCCTCTATAAATGACATAATTCAGTATCAAGAGAAAGTACCTACAAAAGAGGAGGGGGAAGTGTTCCTTTTACATGTCAGGCCGTGTCAAATCCTTTTACTCCATTCTAAAAAGCAGGCATGACATACATTTGCATCTGGGCTTTTCTCCCCTCTCCCACAAACAAATGAGGCTCAGTTTCCTTAATATTCTACTCAGACACATTCGGGCAGTCCCACTTGATTCTTTAAGTAATCAACTGTTCAATGCAATTATCTCTAAAATCCTATTCAACACCAACAAATTCCAGGCATCCAGTTTTGGAAACAGGCATCCAATCTAGATTTAATTTGAATGCACACACCGTGCCAAAGGCATTGGCTGACTGGAAGTTCATTGCAGAAAATTTTCCTTTGATATTTAGCCTATCTTTATTTGCTTATTCATTACATCCCACTCCTAACTA